CCTAAAGCATTAGGCAAATAATTCAAATATTCCTTTCTTGGTTGAATGTTTCATCCATTTAACTAAATGATATTTTTCTTAATCAATCACTCTATACAAGTCACCCTATCATGTTCAAACCTATTTTTTTATAAAATTCATATGACTAGTCTTTAAGTTACTTAGGGTTAATGGTTAAATCTACTCCCTAACTAATCTAACCTAATTCTTCATTTCAATATATCTAATTTCAACTAACCAAGATTAAAGCTACTAAATTCTATGGTTTAACCATCCAATTCAATAATCCCTCACATTTGAGACTTGGCCGAATGACCCTATACCAAACAATCAAATTGATTTCTTCATAATTAATCTTAAGTCATCCTCATTTAATCTTACTTAAATACCATTTAATCTATAGTGTATAAACAAACACATTTTACTCTAATTTCTATATTGGTCGAATCTATCACGCCTTATTAGCCATTCAATTCCATCAATTCTTCTTTTGTTTCAAGCCAAAACATAGTTTACATATTTTATCAAACACCTTATTTGCATCAATTTTTCACAACATAATATTCCTTTTTTCTATCTAGTCTTGGCCAAATGGTTCAATCCAGTGAACCCATTCATTAAGCTCCTCCTTCAATCACCAATCATCTAGCTATTCATTCAATTGTACAACATATAAACTTTCATATAATGCAAAAAATGAATCCCTAACTTTTCTATTCACATCAAAACATCAATTAAACAACCAAGACATTACACCCTTTATAGTATAAGTGAGATTACACTTATCCATCATCATTAGAATGTTCAATTATTCATTAATTTTACAAGCCGAACATCAATTGAACACAAATAAGTCAATTACATAATCTGAAATCCTAAGTTTATAAGAACTCAATTCTACCAATTCAACACATAATCATCCTAATTTTTGTTGTGAGTTGAAATTACACTTACCCGATGTTTGTTTGAAGATAAAATCACTTTAAAACCTCTAAAATTACCCCTCTTCTCCTTATCCGTTATTTCGACCAAAACAGCCCCTCTCTTCCTATTCCTTTTTTTGGCCAAGTTTGCTACCTCTCGGTACGTTTTAGCTCCTCTCTTGGTAAATTTCAGCTCTCTATTACTTTCTCTTTTTTGATTTTGTCTCTCTTGCTCTCTTTCTCTCTAAGTATTCAAGCCCTCTCTCAAATGAAAGGATGTAGGCAAATGAAATGTTCCATGAACCAAGCCAAAACCTCTTTCTTTTTATATTCCTCTCTTAGCTAAAACTTTTGCCCAAAATGCGTTTAATAAGCTACATGTCCTAAGGTGGTATTTTACATTTAAACATTTTAATTTAAGTGAAATACATAATTAGGATATTGTTTTCAAGATTAATATATGTATAGGTCACTAATTAAAATTTAAATTCTAAGTTATACATATATAAAAATTATTTAATTAAATTATATTTACTAAATCTTTCATTTATCAATTAATACATTATTCACATAAAGCATATAAATTAAATTCGGGTATTACAAAAATCAATGTTAGAAAAAACTTTAATATTTTATGTACTAAATATTATTGTTTCTTCCTACAAAATTCATCAAAAGAATTAAGAAAAATTCTTTTTTCCCCCTCCCTAAATGCTTTCTTGACAACTGCAGCTAACCAAATCTTTTATTCGCCAAAACCAAAGCAAAGTAGATACCTCAAATCAACTTTTCCATTTTGCCTTTTCTTCTCTTTTTCATCACCATTCACGCACGCTATTCACAATTTCCCTTCAATTTTTTTCCCCCAATTCAGTCCTTTTTTATATAATCTTTTTCTTAATTATTTTTTTCTAATTAATTTTTTAATGAATTATTATAAAATCATTTATGGGCTAGACCTATAACATGTACCCAACAAAAAGAATCTGTCTTGTATCAATTCACTCGCATTAAAACTATGGTTCGAGTAATAGAAACTCAAACCTTAAACTATATAGTTCAAATAAAGCAATTAATTATATCCTTGATATTTGAATTTTAGTCCTTCCATAAATTTTAATATCAATTTGCTTTCAGTTATCTAACAAGTTTCAGATTTGTTTAATAGACAATCTTTATACACCACATGTCTTAAGCTAATAATTTAATTATAATGAAACAAGAGAGGTCAATTAATTATATTTGAAATAAGAGAGATTTTTTAATTCATTTATGATTTACTCTTGAGTCAGGCTATGGTTTTGTTACAAAATTCGGGCTTGGGCTAGGTCATGCAAGCCGTACGCTGTGGGTCCTGTCTTACAGGATGTGTTGGCTTTCTAGGTCTTTTGAGTTGGTTTTGCTTCGGTGTTACATTCGTTTATGTTAAATTTTTATTTCACCTTTTAACTATATTTATTTATTATTTATGTCACACTTCACACTTGTGTCTGAGTAATATGATTTAAGCCAATCACATCAAGATCTAAGAAGGTAATCTCTCTCACAAAATCCTAGGAGATAATCAATCTCGCAACATAAGTTAATCAAATCAAGATCAGATAATCACTCTCACAAGAGAAGCTAATCAAATCAAGATCTTAAAAGGTAACCTATCCCACAAAATCCTCCTTTACAATATAATCAAGATCTTAGGAGGCAATCACTTCCACAAGATCTTAGCAAGTTACCATTGATACCAATCGAAATGACATGAATTATTAAGTGCAAAACTCTCAACTTTAAATTTGCTTCGTACTATTGAGATACCAATGAAAATTTTATATAGAAACTAAAAATGTAGAACCCATATCTAAAATTTAATAACTCATATAATGAAAATCTTACATGAAAGTTAAAGATTTAAAGTTCATAACTAAAATTTAATAACTATTTTATAAATGAATGGACAATCAACACACTCTTTTCTAGCAATCCTTCACCAATTATGCTATTTTGATTTTTCAATTGATATATATATATATATATATATATATATATATATATATATATATATAGAGAGAGAGAGAGAGAGAGAGAGAGAGAGAGAGAGAGAGCAGACTATAAACTAAAAAAAACACTAAATAAATGAAATAAAAACTGAAAAATCATCAGATCTAGTCGAAAGAATACTAAATTTAAGATTATTAAGAATATTAGATCTAGTAAAAAGAATACTAGATCTGGATTATTAAAAAATATATATCAAAAAAGAAAGAAAAATACTCTCAAAACCGTAAATTAAAAAAAAAAAAAAAAAGGGTGTGTGGGTGTTTTTGACCGCCATATTATCATTATAGCATTGTCAGTAGCTATGTATATGTTTTGTCTTCACAGACACAAAATCTTTTTTACTATGATATCCTTGTCATTAGATTAAAAAAAAAATTACTATTGTAAAATCTCATAAATATTTTTTGAAAGTAAGCATCATTAATTTAAGAAATACTTTATTGACGAAAATGGAAAACAGCAACAAATATGTAACAAATTCGTTGTAGATCATTAATAGGTTGAGACTATCCTCTAATTTGGCTCAAATAAAGGCAATAAGATTATCTTATCCAGTCCTGCTTGCTAACGCTAAAAGAAAGGATTGAACGGCCCTGAAGGTAATTTTCAACCCATGCAAAAGTCATTCACTGGCATAGCAATAAATATCAGTATTTTCTCAATTAAGAGCCTGGTTCGGGTAGGCATGGAAATGTGGCAACGGGAACATTGGATCTCCAACGCAGCTCTTAGATGTTCGATTGAAAGCCTCCTTCAGAATATTTTATCATCGAGACTCTAAATGGAGAAAGAAAAGCATCCTATAGCTTCTAATCATGCAAATCCTAAGGACTAAATTGGAAGTTAGAGGACTAAATTTACTAGTAACAACTTAAAGTTGCGGATGAAATTCAAGAAAGACATGATTGCTAAATTCGAGCTGAAATATATGGGTTTTATGTTTTTCTTTCTTTGGTACACAGACAAATGATGGTAGATTTATTATTATGTCATTTATAATAATAATAGTAATACAAAAAATAAAAACCATGCCCATCACCAATCGTCCATGATAAGAAAAAAAATCTAACTTTTGCCTTTTTCTATTTTATTTTCAAATATAAGAGTGAAATGTACTTTTAATTTGGTGGATTTCATTACAAAAAAAAAAAGCCACCACTATCATTCTTTTGATAATGATAATTACAATATCATCAGCTATAAAATTTTAAAATAAACATCATTAATTTAAAGGGAAATAGCTTTTTTTAATTCTTATATAATAGACTAAATTTTTAATCAATCCCAAATATGTAAACTATATTTCTGTTATTTAAGTAATTTTTCAATTTATGATTTTGATCAAAAAAATTTTTTATTCAAATCATTTAAAAATATCACATGACCTATACATAATTTTTTTTTTTTTGACAAAAATGACTCTTATAATTTAATATTTTAAGTCTTCAATTTATCCTTATAAAAAAGATTGAATCTTCAATTTGTCGTTAATCCATAACAAATGCATATAATTATGAATTTAGATAATAATGTATTGGACTATAACAAATTTTTCTGTTAATTAAAAATATATAAAAATAATTAGTATATGTTACTATACAACTATTCAAGGAATTGTCATTTAATATATTTTTAATATTAAAAAATCTATTATATTATTGATCAGATTGAAACAATTCATTTATATGTAGGATTGAACAAATTGATATAATATTATTCCAACAATCCTCAGATACCAATTATTCCGTAACAAACAGTCAACAATTCAACAATAATCCAAACAACAATTCAACAATCAATCCATACTTCACAATTAACCCAAACTACCCAACCCTAAAAAGCTGGGAAAACAACAGCAGCAATAAATAAATAAATAAATAAATACTAAATTTGCTGCAAGTCATTGAGAGGCTGAGACTGTCCCCTTATTTGGCTACAATACTTCAACAACAGCAAAAGCAACAAGATTCTCTTATTCATTTTCTGCTAGTAGAGGAACTAATCGGCCTTGGAGTAACTTAATTTTCAACCCATGGAAAAGCCATTCACTGACATCCCTCCATCAATGCGTATGACTTGTCCTGTTAAGAAGCCCGGTCCAGGCAAGCATAGAAATGCAATAACTGAAGAAACCTCTCCTGGTTCTCCAACGCGTCTCATAGGGGTTCGATTGAAAACCTCATTAAGAATGTTTTCATCCTCCAGACTCTGAATCGTAAAGGAAAAGCGTTAGATAAATTTACACCATGCAAATTCTAGCTAGAGCAAAACAAATGTTGCTGACGTTAATCTAATTGACCTAGCTCTAGAGAGACTGACATAACGGAACTAAGTAATAGAAAAAACATTGAAGAAACGAGAAACATTAGTTAGAGAATTTGTGAGTTTGCAGAATGCTGTACAGGTGTGGTGAGTGGAGTTCGGATGAACCAAGGTGCTACTGCGTTAACCCTTATATTGTCCTTGGCCCATTCGCAAGCCAAATTCCTTGTAAGCTGGTTCATTGCACCTGAAGTATACATGTCGAGACAGATCAGAATCGAAAAGGCTTTTGCAAAACGAAATGAAGAGCAAAATAAATTGAGAGAACACAGAGAATTAGTTAAGTACCTTTAGAAGCTGAATATAAAGGATATTGAGTATTTACAGATACCACACTAGTAATAGAAGACATAAAGACAATCCTTCCAGCTCCTGAAGCTTTCAAAAGTGGATGTGCAAGTTGGGAAAAATGGAAAGCAGATTGAAGGTTTGTATTCATGAGAGATGTGAAATCCTCAGCTGTGTAATCTAAGGTTGCTTTATATATGTTTGTCCCAGCATTGTTGACCTAGAGATTAGGAAGAGTTTAAGGAATCAGAAAAGTTATCAATTCACATCTAAAAAGCACTATTTATTTGCGACATCAAGTTATATGCCTTTATGTTGCAATAGACTAGGCTTTTTTTTTTTTTTTTTTTTGGGTTTTCCCCGAGTATCCTCATCCTACATTAGAAATAAGATTAATCATGTTCTTGACGGTGATTGACAAATTTTAACTCCTTCCACCAAGTGCTACTGACTAGGCTTCTGGACTAACTTTTCTTCATCTCTATAGGACTTCATTTTTCCTTCAAACAAGACTCAACCACCAATGAGCTAGCTTCTTCTAGCTCAAGTGGTGATGGGCTCTTGATTCATACCAAGAGATGGTTTAATTCCTACTTACTAAAAAAGTTATAAACATCGAACTTGTTTGCAACTCATGTAAGAGGAGGCTAACATTAGCTCCTCGTCCTTGTTGTGGTAGTCAAACTAATCTCTTGTCAGCAAGTATTAAGTTGACTGTCCCTTCCCTCTAATACTGACAGACAACCACCAATCATATTTATGGAGAAAAAATACAAACTCAACCGTATGTGTATTTACTGGTTGAAATTATTCCAACAAATTTGTATTCATTTTCAGCATTCTTGAAACTTTTTTAGGCTCGTTGCAACAATTATCAACACTAGTACTACTCTTTTCCCATCCAAAGACAATGCCAATTGTTTTTTACCAAAGGCACTCTAGAACTTCCCTCATAATATTACCAAGCCCTTCTATAATTAAGTACTGTGAAGGTGTTGAGCAAAAAGGGAGAAAACAAAATGAAACTTTACTTACAAGGATGTTAAGTTTTCCATCAAACAGAGAGGAAACCTCTTTCATGAGCTTCTCTCTTTCAGCATTAGAGGATACATCACAGACTGAACCAGTAACTTTAAAACCCTTCTCATTCCATTCACTGATGCATTGATTAAGCAAGTCTTGGTTCCTCGCACATGTATGCACCACTGCCCCTAGCGCTGCCATCTCATCCACAATAGCATACCTGATCATCATAATGCGTCGGAAAACAAGTCTTATACTCTTTTAATTGTTTTCAAATTGAATCCGATTACTTATTATTGCCACCGAATAAATGTCTTATAATGGAGCCGAAAATCAGGATTAGTTGGAAGCATCTAGTGATGACTGTGAGCTAAAACTAAAAGAAGCAAGGTGATGAAGAGAAGAAGGAAATGAGAGACAATTACCCAAGCCCTTTGGTTCCACCAGTGACAAGAGCTGTCATTCCTTGGAGAGACCATCTGTTTTCCCTGCTGCTGCTTTCTGCTTTAGACATCTTCTCTGATCTCCCTTCAAGTTAAAGATCTTCAGGCTATTAATACTTATTAAAGTTGCAAGAACAAGAAAAATGAAATGGGGAGAAAGTTGTTTATATACAAATACGGAAGTTAGAAAAACCTGTATTATTCAGAACCCTTAATCGGCACACATTAAACTATGGTTAAAATAATATAAACTAAAACCATAAACTATGGTTCAAATAAAGTAATTAAATGTATCATTGATTCACGAACAAATAAACAAGTGTCAGATTTGATTAATAAACAAACATTATCCTGAATGAACCACATGTCTCAAGTGTTTTTATATATATATATATATCTGTAGATCTGTACGCTTCGAAATACATAATAAGTAATATTATTTTATTATATAATAATCAAATAAATTAGAATTTATTAACGTTCAAATTTGTTCTGTTGAAAAAAAAAATACCGAATACAAAAACGCTAATTTATGTTTACACGTGTTCACATTTTTTATAGTAATTGTATTGAAAATGTCGAAATGTAATTGGAAGAGTGACTTTTGTTGTCAAAAGAGAAGAGTTTGTTTATTAAAAATGTCAATTAAAAGGTTACAATTCCTTTTCTTAAAGCCACAAGGTCGACAAAATCATGTAAGCAGAGATCTTCACTATCAAAAAAAAATATTAAAATATATGAAATCAAGCTGGAATTAACGTGCTTCAGAATCCAAAAAATCACGGTTCAGACGAAGGTGCAATAAAAAACGAACGGGGCTAGTGGGGTGCACGTAGAAGCTAATAATAGAGAAAATTACAAATTAGTCCTTTTTGTTTTGAAAAATAATTAATTAGTCCCTTTTATCTCGAGAAATAAATAAATTAATCCTTTTATTTAATTTCTTGCGTTATAATTTCATCAATACCTTAATCTTTTTATCTTTTTTTTTATTAGAATGATGATAAAGCATCTTTATTACAATACTCTTATTCTTAATTTTTTTTTCGTTAATGCATTATTTATCTCATTTATTCATTCTCTTTCTCTCTTCTCAACAATCTCAATCATCATAATAAAATAAAAAATTCATCTTTGGTGCCTTTTTTTTTTTTTTACTCTTAGCTCATTCATTCACTCACTTTCTCTCTTTTTAACCATTTCTGTTACTACAACTTATAACATTCATTCACTCACTTTCTCTCTCTTTAACCATTTCTATTACTACAACTTATATTTTACCAAGTCATTTTTTATTTCATCTCTTCATTCTCTTATATTATTCATATTTAACGGTCAAAAAAAGTATTAAAAATAAAATTTTTTTTATTATGATGATAGAAATGATTGAGAAGAGAAAAAAAGAGTAAATGAAAGAGTTAAGGGTCACAAAAATAGCTTGAAAGATGAATTTTTGCTTTATTACACAATGATAGAAATGATTGAGGAGAGAGAAAATAAGACATTAAAAAAAAGATTAATTTGGAAATAAAAAGACTACAATAAAGAAACTTCATCACAATTTTAATAAAAAAAAATTGATAAAAAAACTAAATTATTCAAGAAATTATTATTTGAAAAATTAAATTATTAGTATTTGAAATAAAAGAAACTAATTAATTTGTTTTTCAAAACAAAAAACAAAAAAAACTAATTTATAATTTGCTTCAAATATATATATGTGTGTGTGTGCGTGCGCGTGCGCTTCTCACTCGTACCATTTCTTCCTACGTCATGACCCAAAAATTTTCGTATTTTTTATTATTTTATTTATTTATTTATTTTTATTTCATTTTATATCATTTTTCTTCATTTTAGAATTTACTAAAAAATAAAAAATAGAATAAAAATACAAAAAATATATACATGAATTCAAAATGCAAAACAATAATAATAATAATAAATAAAATAAAGCAAAAAAATGAAAAATAAATCTCTACTCTCAATCCTGGAAATCTTCTATAAAATCAACACTTCCTCCTTACTTCAAAGCAACCACAAATAGAGCCACAAGAGGAGCCGCCATCAAAAATAAATAAATGTAATCTCTGAAAAAAAAAAAAAAAAAAAAGCTGGGCAGCCATTTTCACAGAAAATGATGGCTGCCATGGCTCTTCCAAAGTAGCTCTCATCCTCCATGTCTCTAACCTCTCCCTTTCAACAGCCCACCAATATATACCCTAATCATCCAGCTATAGAAAGCCCTCCTCCTCCTCTACTCGAGTTCAAGAGCATGTAGCAGCACCTTTTCATTTTGAAAAATGCCAATCCATGCCTCAGCCGAGACAATATCATTCCTAGATCATCTCCTCCTCTCATAGCAATCTTAAACCACCCATGGTCACCTATAAAAATACCTTCCCCTCCTACTACCATTGAAACCACACCAAGCCATTCACCATCTACTACCATTGAAACCACACCAAGCCATTCACCTTTTCATTTTGTTCTTTGTTTAATTTGGGGCTGGCTTAAGAAAATGTTGCATTGATTGAAGTTTCGACATTTAAGGGGGAAAAAAATGGAAACGGGCTGGGCTAAGCTCAGCCAGTGGGAAAGGCTAACGTGCTAGTCTAAGCTCAGCCTACGTGGTCATAGCTTAGGCTGATTTCAGCCCAGCCCAACCCTAAAAAAGGGTAAGGCAAGCCTGTCCAGCAGGCCAGCCCAGCAACCTGGCCCAATGGGCCCACCGGCCATCCAAAAAAGCCTGATACATTTCTTTAGTTTTAATTGTATTTTATTTATTTATTTTTGTTTTAGATAATTCGTCTTGAATTTTACTTATGCATGTTTGTTTTCTATCTAATTTCGTTTTTAATATTCTAGCTTTCATGGAATTTATTTTAGTTAGTTTTAGTTTTAGACTTTTAATTTCATGATTAATTTAGATAATCAAATGGTAGATGAATTGTTAGGTCTCCTAATTTTTAGAAACTGATGATGATTCTCTATAGATAAAAAAAATTAAAAAGAAAAAAAGAAAGAAGGCCAATAGTTAATTTTAATTTTATTATTTTGTTTCAAAATTAGTTTAGTAGTTATTAGGTTAGCGAATTGTCGAGTCTTCTAAATTCTTAGGAACCGATGGCGATTTTCCTTTGAACTGTCAATAATGAGTTTAGATAACCAAAAGATATGTGAATTGTCAAGTCTCTTAAATTCTTAATAACCGATAACGATTTCTCATCGAGTCATAAGTCATCAATATTTAAATTGGATATGAAAATTGGAGTTTAAATAAAAAATAACTTGATAAAAATAAAAATACTTTAGGAGATAAATTTAGGATTAAACTAAACGTGGTATCTTTCTTAGGAAAGAACATCTTTGGATGATCAATATCTTCTCAAAACTTAACCAACTCTTTACTCGAGAAACTCGAACCAATGCTATTTTTTAGGTTCTTGATTCCTTAATATTAGGTAGCGACTCCAAAATCAATAATAACTCATATCCTTAGAACAAACCCCAAACGAGATGTGAATTTTAGAAAATCTAAATTTTTTTTTAAAGTTCCATCCAACGTCGTTTAGCGACAATTATTATGAGAGAAGTGATATCATGTAGTGACATCCTTGATACATCCATAAAATCAGCTTAGTTCTTTATAAAAGAAATCAGCTTCAAACAAATTCACATCCCTCTATCTATTTGAATTCTTTTTCTTTTTTTAATACTGATTTCTAGAACAAATTTGAAAAAAAAAAATCCAATTCCTTTTTTTCCCCAAAAAAATCCAGATCATAGTAAATTGGGGAATTTGTTAATAGAACCACTAGCACACCCAAATTTTGAGCGGACAATATTCAGTTTTTTCAAGAGCTATTTCAAACTTGGTTATATTAAAGTGCATCGACTAGGGTCTCGGGTTAATTGTAATCTAATACGAATTTTGGTTAAATTTAGCAATAATCATTCGAAGAGTTTGTCTTGTTTCATTGAAATCGAGTGGCGTTGTACATTAATTGTTAAATGCGGACGAGTTTTGGTTTTGGGTACAAGAGCTAAATCAAGTTGGGCTTTGTGAGAAGATGATGAAAAATCTTTGGTTCGATTCCATGGTAGAGCCACATGCTTCTAGTTTTTGTTAATGATTTCTATTCCAATACTCCATAATAAATAAATAGCAAATAAGATCAAATTAAATTGATCAAAGAAGAAATTATTTTCAATTAAAATTGATGGATAGCAGAGGAGTTTTCATCACGAGAACTTCCGGGGTTCTTGTTGGATGTCGACTTTTTGTTTTGTTTTTTCAACAACCAGGAGCTGAACCGGTTGTCTGTAACCTTTTCAATGACGTGGCTTATTGCTAAAGCGAGTGTTGCTAGCAGCTGTCAAGTGACGGCTGCCAGGATTCCTTTAAAAAAAAAAAAAAAAAAATCCAAATGACAGTCCTGCATCAGGTGCTAAATAATTTTTGAATTTAAAAGTTTTTTCTTTCTCATATATTTTCATTTCTCATCATAAATAGAACTAATTATTTTTAAAATAAAAATGATAAAATTTTAATTACTTTCGATACACATGACTTTAGAATTTAAATCTTATATATTATAAAAAATTAGTTTGAAGATTTTATAATTGGGTCAATAACTTGTTGGCAATTTAAAAAACTCTTTAAGAATTCAAAAAAAAAAAAAAATTCAAAATGTATATTTTGAACGTCATATGCAAAAATACAGGATGAAAATTATATTTGGTGACAAAGTTTCGGTCGAGTGATAGTAAATTCTACATATATTGGTAAAAAGTATGTTGGAATATTCGAGGGTTGAGCCATCTAAATCGGAGATGATAATAATGAGAGATGCGGTTTTCTCCACTGCATTCTCCATTTTCTATTTCTAAATCATGAGAGATATATATATATATATATATATGATGTGATAAGAGGAAAATTTCCCATTGACAGAAGTGGTTGTAATTATGTGCTGTGAGTTGTGACGAGTAGATTGGCACCACCACTTGGCTTGGAAAAGATCTTTGCACTGCCAGCCTTCTGCAAAGTAAAGATTTCAATGTATAATTATTAATTATTAATTCTATTAGGATTAGAAGGAGGATTTGACATTAGCAGAGTCTGAGGGTCAGATTTGTTTTGGGTTTAGATTTGTTTCTGTTAAGTTTTTCATATTTTACCCTTTTAGTATAGCTTTATTATTTATGCCACCGTTCGCATTTGTACAATGATTAATATTATTTTCCCTAATAGTAAAAAACAAAAAGAAAAGATAATAATGTTATCTATAATAATAAGAATAAGAGAATATAAAAACCACCTCCATGACCAATCGGCCAGTACGATAAGAAAAAATCTAACTTCTGCTATCACATCTTGATCATGATCACCAATTCTTCAAATGTACTGACAATATTTGAAAACAACGACAGCAATAAATAATTAATAAATTCGCTGCACGTCATTAAGAGTCTGAGGCTATCCTCTTATTTGGCTACAATACATGAACAACAGCTAAAAGCAATTAGATTCTTCCCTTACTTGAACCAATACTCCATGACAAAAAAATCGCAAATAAGATCAAATTAAATTGATCAAAGGAGAAATTATTTTCAATTAAAATTGATGGATGGCAGAGGAGTTTTCACCATGAGAACTTCCACGGTTCTTGTTGGATGTTGACCTTTTGTTTCGTTTTTCCAATAACCAGGAGCTTAACCAGTTGTCTGTAACCTCTTCAACGACGTGGCTTATTGCTGAAGCGAGGAGTTTTTTCCCAAACTAAGGTACTTTAAAATCTTATTTATAAAAATGAGGTATTTTAAATCTTATTTACTAAATTAAGGTTTTTTTTTCCATGTAAGCTTAATTATCCATGTCATTTAAGTTTAATTTAGTTTTTTTTATTATTATTATTTATGAAACAGAGATGCTAATTATTTATCTGAAACAAACAAACATTTTCTTGAACCAGTGGGATTTTATAAACCAATAAAGATTTAGTTTCCCTTATAGATTAAATTCCCAAAGAAAACTCAAAATCAATAAAACCATCTTCAAAAACCTAGTTTTAAAATTTAAATTTTCCCAACCTTCCGAGAAGTGACTTTCTTTTCACTTGCAAGCATATATTTCTCATCAGTGTAAACAAGCAAAGGACGTTTGTTGTTCTCTTTACTCATGCTCCTCAACATGTACCATGGATTCTCGTTCCTCTTCACAGAGTAAGCAGCAGACAGAATTTGCACTCAAACGTTTACCAATCCCATCATTAATTGACTCCCATTTCCAATCTCATTACGAACCATCCTCGTGAGAGTACGTAATTCACAGGATATCAACTGGGATTCTTCCATATCCCATTTTCGATTTGTTTTCTGGGATTTAGTCAAAGAACTAGGAGTAATTTGTGTGATGTGATGTTGCATTCTAATCGAAGAACACGTCAAGGACGGAGCCTGATGGGGGATTTAGGTAGTGGAGGCTTGCGATCAATTTTCATCCTTGACATTTTGATTGGATTTCTTAGAAGAAAACTTTTGATTTGAATTCTGTAATGCTAAAGGGTACAGTTTTTGTCTGATTCTTTTTTGTCATTTTAAGTTTAATTATTATTATTATTTTATAATCAATAAACACTTTTATGAAAAAAAAAACTAATTTAAACAAATATATAATACTTTTATTGATTTCTTAGTTATTTTTTGCACGACATGGATATTATTTTGAAAAAGAAATGACATAAATTTTTCATGTAGATCTTATATGACAAAAATGTATTGTTTTGATAAATAAGATTAAAAGTACCGCATAGTGGGAAATAAGATTCCGAAGTACCTTCCTTTGAAAAAAAGCTCCTGAAGCGAGCGTTGCTGGCGGCGGTCAATGACGGCTGCTAAGATTCCTTGAAAAAAAAAACAAAACAAAACAAAGCAAATAAAAAAATCCAAATGATGGTCCTCCATCAGGTGCCCAATAATTAATTATTCTTTAACACTTTCTACGGTGCTTTGAATATAAGGTGTTTTTTTTCTCCAGATATTTTTATTTCTCATCCCAAATAGGACTAACTACTTTCGAAGCAAACATGCTAATTTTTTTTTTTTGTATAAATATGACTTTAAAATTTAAATCTTGCATGTAGATATAAAGTTTGTTTGAAGACATCATAATTGAC